TACGACTCATCAAATGTCTATCAACAATCTGTTCCGTAACCAGTTTATTTGGTTAGATATCATTTAGCCAATAAAAAGTAATATACACATAATAAAGATATACAACAAATTTAAAGATATTTATTTTATACTTCATACCAACTTCGAAATCATTTACATTTCAAATATATTACCAAATCTTTTAAAACTCCTTGAGATTCCTTTAACCAAAAAATAAAATTAAGACTAGATGAACTTTAAAAATAAGACCAGGACAAAATAATTATGTGTGTGTGTGTGTGTGTGTGTGTGCGTGTGTATATATATATATTTTCATACCAATCCAATAACCCCAAAAGGGAGAAAACTCGATGCCTCTTTCGGCCATCTACTGTGATCAAACTACATCATAGAATCCTGTTTTTCCACATGAGAAACTATGTATGGAGTAGGAAACGACAAATATCATACAGACTGAAAACAGCTACACCTATGAGATTCTCTAGTTAATCTCACCTACCATGAGAATAATATTATACCTGGGTTTGTATATGTACTAAGCACGTTTAGTAACACAAATCTATCTTAAATGGTGCATCTCTTTGGGACCGAATACTGTAACTTGATCTTTCCCGTGATAGACTTGTTACATACTACTAGTAAGTAGTATCTGAACTGAACTGAACTACTCATCATCTGCCTCTGCAGAGAAGTCTGGCTCGTCAGGCTTTTGTAACTTGGGCATCTCAACATCCTTGATTTTCTGAGCTCCTCTTCGTGTGTTTGCTGCAAACCTAGAAGCCAGTATTGTGACACCAAGCGACGGTGCAACAGTACTACTCTCTTGTTCTTCTCCACCACTCACTTGTTCATCAACCATTCTAGACTCTATACTGCTAAGGGTCTTGGCCATCATCCTCTTCTTGTATCGTCGCCAAGCAGCCTGAATGAAGCAGGCTGCCCACGTCCTCCAGTGGTGGGAGTAGAAACGGAAGGTGTGTTGCAGCTTCTTGCTGTGTAGACGCCTAAACTGGTTGGCCACAAATTTGAGATCCTCTGCTCGCAATGCGAAGGCCTCTACTTCAACAAGGGATCTCACTGTTCTTGTGGAGGAAGGCAAGTTGATAGTAGATTTTGGGAGCAGGGCCCAAGCAAGCAGTTCCTCTCCACAAAAATCACCTGGTCTTAAAGTAATTGAGTTGAAGAAACCTGTCCTACCTCCATTTGTGGTTGAACTCTCTAGTCTCCCTCTGATAATGAAAAGCATCTCTGTGACTGGGTCGCCTTCACGAACTATATAAGTTCCCTGAGTACATAAGGAGGAAACTAAGCGCTCACATATGGCGTCTAGTAGCTGATCATCCATTTGTGAGAAGAAAGGGACCTGCAAAAGAGGAAAGTTAAAGGTCAATATAAACAATCCAATCTGAAATAATAAACAAAGGTTGACTATGCTAAGAACTTACACGTCTAACAAGGTCTAAGCAGAGGTGGCGTTGGATATCTCTACGGAGATCTGTAGGTAAGCCACGCAAGATTGATTCTTCATCAACTCCGCGGGTTGCAAGCCATTTATACTGGACAAATCTTCTAACTCGCTCTCTCAAATCTTGAGGGAGTTGGCGATGTCTCATCCACTCCTCAGTGTCTCTTCGCTTGAGCCTCCATTCCTCAAGTCTCACAGTGATGGATTGCAAGTAAGTCTAACAAAACAGATGGGTTTAAATGGATGAGTCACAACAGAGTGGTCAATAAATATCAACAAGGAAACAGAGGAAGCTACAATTAATGTTTTCTTTTCTTCCATTTATTTTTCCGGTTCTTTAAAAATTATAGTCCGTGATGATTGGGTATCTATATAAATTAATAAGTGCTAAAAGACAAGTGAAAAATGCGCAATTTTTTAAACAAAATAGGTTCTTGGGTTTATAGAAGCAACAAATATGAATGTCTGTAATTAAGTAACAAACTTTAGGAGTCTAAAAATATTCTTAAGTTTCACTCCTAGCATCAATCAAGTC